AGGGGGGGGGGGGGGGGGGGGGAAGCGAGTTTATGAGATGTAATTAGAAAAAAAAAACGTACGTGAACTGCGCGGGGGGTTCTTGAGATCTCTTCAAGACGGAGTAATAGTGCATCAGCAACTCGATCGCATCCTGGCGAATCTGAGGCCAGTTGTCGTGGGCGGGAGGATGGGTGGCGTCTGCGGCGGGCACAGTGACATCCCTAATGATAAAACACACGATTATGTGGGGTCAGCAAAGGTCAAATCAATGCTGCGAAGAAACAAATAGGACTCACTCCATCTCTATGTCTATGTCGAGACCCTGAACGGCTTCTGGAGGCAGATCTCGGAAGGTGCCAGCGCCGGATCGCTCTGCACGAGCCATTTCGTCCGCCAAGGTAGACCTCAAGCCAGAGTCAACAGCCATAGAAGTAGAAGGTTGGGTATAGGACATGTCTACGCGCGTCTATGTGCGAAGAGGAGTGGCAAACGGTGTCTCAACCCATCTTGCAATATATACTTCCAGCTGCAAGGCCACGAGTCGCAGAGTGGCCGCAGTGGAACAAAGGACAAAGGTATAAAAGCCACAAAGCATTGCCAGCCAGATATACGCAAAGCCCCCATCTGGAAAAGCGACAGTGCAGCGCAGCCACGATCCACGTTTGTTGTAACTCAACGCCATATCGAAGACAGAAAGAGCGATGAACTCCGGCTCCGGTCCCGACACGCCGACCACGACGCCCACGTGGGTGCAGGGCTGTTATCACGTGCCCTGCCCCCCTGGCTTCCCTCCACGCCCCTCGCGTACGCCGGCTGCTTCGAACGATTTCCCGGCGATGTCGCGCTGGTTGCCCTCTGCCGACACCGTGGCGACCGTCACAAAAGTGAGCCCTTGCTCGCTCTCTCCGTTAGTGCGCACGCCGTGTTCAAAGTGAATTTTTTTGTTCCATGGCAAAGGGGGCGTTCGCCACCGGCGCCGGCTTGTCCACCGTCGGTGAGTTCTCTTTTTTGCTCACGAGGAGGGGAAAGCAAGGCTGATCTTGGGACTATCTGACCGAACTCAGGCTTCGGACTGCTGTATTATGGTCAGAACTACTTGATATACCCCTCCGCTTTTCCTCCGGGGTCTCGCACAGGTCAGCAAGAAAAAGCGCGCAACGTCGTGACGCTCTGCTTATCTTTCGTCTTCTGTTTCGATTGCGCAGATGTGCCCAAACCGTCGGACTGGGGGCTTGACTATGAAGATCTGACGCTGGTCACTCCGGACAACGTAACCCTCCGCAACTACCTACTGCTCCAGCGCAAGCATATCCCCAACGCAACCCCGATGCAAACCTACCCCGGAGAGACGGACGCGGACGTGAGTCCGAGACCCGCCCATCCTCTTTACGTTGCGTCGGTCGAGCGATCGTTCAGAGACGTTTTTGCAGTTCGCGGCGACCCGGCCGACGGTGATCATGTTTCACGGTAATGGCGGAAACGCGGGCCATCGGGTACCTTTGGCGAGGATGTTCTACATCAAGCTGCGATGTAACGTCGTCATGCTCTCGTACCGGGGGTAAGCAGCGTCTTCCAGCCCCCGCCCCCGGATTGTCACTCACACCCCAACAGATACGGCCATTCCGACGGATCGCCGTCAGAGAAAGGTGCTCCTCTCCCCAAAGCACAGTCGAGACCGTTATGCTGAACCACCCGCTCCAGGTCTCCGGATCGACGCCCAGACGACATTGGACTACATCCTCCACCACGACGTCCTCTCCCGCACCCCTCTCGTCCGTCCCTCCTCCCTCCTCCGAGCGTTACAAAACACTCAATTTCCCCTTATTTTTTATCGAAATAGATCCTCTACGGCCAATCCATCGGCGGCGCCGTCGCCATCGACCTCGCCTCGCGCAACCCGACCGCGATCCGCGCGCTCGTGCTCGAAAACACCTTCCTCTCCCTCCCGCGCATGGTCCCGCACGTCCTGCCCGCGCTCGGCCCCTTCTCCTTCCTCTGCCACCAGAAGTGGGACTCGGCGAGCCGGCTGCGGCGCGTGCCGCGGGAGGCGCCGGTGCTGATGCTCAGCGGGCTGAAGGACGAGGTCGTGCCGAAGGAGCACATGCGCGAGCTGTGGGCGATCGCGGGGCGGAGGGGCGAGCCTGAGCAGGAGGCGCAGAGGGAGAGGGAGAAGGGCGCGGGGAAGGGTAAGGCGCGCGAGGAGGGGGAGCCGGCGTGGGAGGCGGGCCCGAGCGAGGCGAATGTAAACGACAAATATGTCGAGTTCCGGCAAGGGATGCACAGTGAGTAGCTTGGGTTCGGATTCGTCGAAAATCTCGTGTCGTGCTCAGGATGCGGCTTTTTTTCTACTTCTTTCCACAGACGATACCTGCGTGCAGGAGGGATATTGGACGGAGGTGGCGGAGTTTATCAAAAAACTGGGGCGATAACGTCCGGTTTGTTTGGTTTGTTTCGCTGCTTTCTCTGCGGCTATTCACGTATTCGCTGCCCTCCTTGTTTGCGACTGTTCACGACCCTTAGTTTGCATGTACTTACGACGCATACACGTGTTTGACGACCGGCTCTCGCGAGGGAGGTCCGTGTAGTATACTGGCAATGATCATCCACGTCTTTTGGACTAGAATCGTTGCTTCCAACCTCCGGCGAAAAATGAACTTGCCTTACAGGGATCGTGTACAGGTGAAGCTAAGTACATAATTATGCCATTTCCTCCTCGTACAACAACAAAACAGAGTTTACATCTTGGATATTCTCTCTCTCTCTCTCTCTCTCCCTCGCTTTCTAGCGCCCGAGCTGCCCGCCTGCCCTATGAGGCGAACTTCTCTGTCCACTCCCGGCTCACGCGTTGCGCGTCCTTCTCATCCTCCTTGTAGTGCTTCGCAACATCGGTGGCGAGCGGGTCGTCCGGGTTGGGCGAGCTGAGCAGGGCCTGTATTGACAGCAGCACGGTCCGGATCTGGAGCGCGGGGGACCATTTATCTACACATGTTGGAAGACCATTGAGAATCGGAGTGGTGAAGCGTCGGAGGGGTGGCGTCACCTTTGAGGATGTCAAGACAGATGCGGCCGAGCTTGTCTACAGCGAACGAGCAATGAAGATCGCGAGCAAGGGCGATGTGACGTGGGTCACGCACCGATGTTGGGATGGTAGATCTTCGTCAGGAACCGCACTTTCGGCGGCGCCATGGGGTACTCCTCCGGCAAGAACAACTCCAATCGGAAAATTCCATCTTCAGCAAGGATGCGTTAACCTCAGATCATCCTAGATCAAATGGGCAAGGCGGCGCACTCTGGAACGGGCTTCCGTCCGGGCCCTGGATGGTCACGTCGAAGTATCGTAGATTGTCTTCGTGCGGCGTTGCCGTGATCCCTGGCGCGGGGTCGGCCACTAGACGTTCGGTCTCCTGCAACGTGATAACGCGCTCTAGCGGTCAGCGATCCGGACGGGACACCTTCATCGGTGTGGTGGTGTGCACCTTGATAATGCGCTGCAGACGAACAATATGAGCGATCGGCTGCATCCAATGGGTCGAGCAGATCAGAAGGAGAGTACCTTTGGTAAAGACATGGCGGCCAGGCAGACGAGATGGAGAGCTATATAACGCCGGGTCAAGGGCGTCGACGGACGGAGTACGCAGCAGTCGCTGTTACTGATGACCTAAGGGCGCCTATTCTGGTCCGGCACGCGAAGTTCGCACGGTCACTCGTGAACACTGACCATGGCCGAAACCGAGGATGTGCAGATGCAGGTAGTGCTTGGTGTTTCTCGTGTTCAGATCGTACTTTACTGTTCGCCTCTGCTTGTGCGATAGAACGGTACATCGGATGATGACGGCTGGGTGCTGCTTACCAGCAATGACGGACACGCCTTCATGATCAAGCGCGACGCCGCCTTGGGCAGTGGCACGCTCAAGCGGATGCTCGCAGAAGAAGGAAGAACAATACTCATTACATGATATTCTTGCCTACTAACGATTGACTACAGGCGGCTTCTCCGAGGCAAAGACGAACACCTGCCACATAGACGAACGGTAAAGCCTCCCCAATGATATCTGAACGACCACCAGGCTAAGAAGACCGTACATCACAGGGCCGTGGTTGTGGAGAAGTTATGCGAGTATCTCTCGTTCAAATACGCATACGACGGATCAAAAGAAGACATGCCCGATTTCAGCAAGGAACGCATCCCTCCCGAGATCACCTTGGAGCTGTGAGTATATACGAACAGGCAGGTCCCAAAAAGCACCTTGCTGACCCCGCATCGTCAGATTGATGGCTGCAGACTATTATGAGAGTACGTGTTCACCTTTCGCGCTCAGTGATGTCGTTGAAAGTGGAGCTCACGCTGTCTTTAGTGTGAAGTGGCCTGCATGCTTGAGTCATCGCGGGTGTGGCCGGTGCTGCCCATGCGTGCCCCTAAGTGCTTGCAGAACTCTGCCCCGAATCCCTTCTGGTGTCATCGCACACGAGGAATGGCGGCAATCCACGCTGTCATGCACGGGGATACGGCAGGGCGACCTATGGTCACCGTCTGTTGCACCCTGTTCGCCACGCACAGGTGCTCGGTGTTAATCATACTGTATTGCTGCGCACGAGACTACCTATGCAAACTACACTAGCGTATCCAGTCGTCGATCCAATTACACGAGACGTAAAGAGTGGCCTAAATGATACTTACTTACATATGTTTATGCCTTTCCAACGATTTCCGACCATGTAAACGTGAGGTTGTATCCCGTACCAGCTTGGCAGATCAGTCGTATTGGCTCATGACTTCGTCGAGAGCGTCCATGTCGATTGAGATATCGCCGTAGCTCGAGTCCCCGTCGCCCGGCGGTGATCCCGGAGGAACGTCCCTCTCCATGCTTTTGCCCTGGTTCGCACCCTTGCCATCCTCGTCTTTCGCGTTCACGTTATCCTTGGTGGGCAGCTCGAGCGCGACCGGCTGGTGCTGCGGAGGTCTGCCCGCCGCAGGCACGTTTATATTCCCACTTCCGCTCCTGCTTATACTCGGCCGACCCGTGTCAGAAGCAGCGTTCGTGTCGCCGATGGGGAGCGCGCCGGCGGGCGCGGACGCGACCTTGGCAAACGGCGGCTTGAACCCCTTCTGGCGCGTGGGCAGCGTCGTGGACGACTGGAGCGTCTTCGTGCCGCGCGCGGTCATACCCAAGACGGCCTTACGCGCCGTCTGGGACGAGGAAGGTGCTGCTGCTCCGGAGCCTTCCACGATTGGAGCGAGCGGAGGGCTGGGCTGCATGTTGGGCGGAGCGGAGTGCTCAGACGAGTTGGAGGATTTGGGAGCCCGGGCGGGATCATGGCGTACGGACTGAAGCGCTTGTATGCCCCTGCCGGACACCGGATCCCGCGCGGACGGACGCGACGACGTGGAAGCGGCGTGGAGCCGTTGCGGAGGAACAGGCGGAGGCGGCATCTGCTCTGCCGACAGCGAGGGCGTCATCTCCCTGGATTCGTCCACGTCCACGTCCATGCAGAACGCGGTGTCAGCGTCCGTGCTACGCGTGTTCGACACCGCGCATGTGCTCGATGGGCCCCGGACGTCGGTCGGACCCGGAAGCGACGCCGTCTTGCCTACATGGGAACGTCTAGCCGACGGGTCGGGGTAAGGCCGCGCTCGCTCCTTGCCCTTGCCATTGCTCTGGGACTTCGCTAGGGCTTGGGCACGGGCACGGGCACGAGCACGGGCTTGAGCTAGAGCCTGAGCCCTGGCCTCCTCTTCCATGAGCCGCTTTTGTGCGTACGCCCGATCCATGATCTCGACATTTGACATCTGGATCATCCGTATTATGGCTTGGAAATCCGCGGGGGTTTGGGGCGGGTATGCGAAGGAAGTGGAAGAAGGTTGATTGGACATCGAGGGACGACGAAATTTGGATGAGGATGCGGCGGTGACGGTTGATCTGGAGGAGGAGGAGGAGGAGGAGGAGGAAGCTGAGCCGCCGGTCGTAAAAGAGGCAGTGGTCGACGCATCCCAGGACGTGGACAGTTTCGAAGGACCTGACAGCCGATGACACATTAGAGATCCAAAGGATTGGTAGAAGACGAGGATGTGACACGTACCGACTGAATGCGTCTCCTTTGCCTGGCGCATCAGGGTCCCGAGGGCACGATTGCTCGGCTGGGTGGCTTGCCACTGTACGTGACCTGACTGGGTTGCCGGTAAGCCATCCCATTGGGAGGAAGAGGGTTCCATAGGCTCGTCAGCAGCCATGGTGTCGCGTGTGGCTGGCTCGATAGCGTGGCGGGCCGTGCGTGCCAAAGGTGACTGGTCCGGGTGGGTAAGGTGGTCGATCGCGTGCGTTCGTGAAACAGCGAGGGTGAACAATGAGATTCAAGATTATTCTGTGGCCTTGGCCCGTAAATATTGAAGATGGTGGTGGCGGGCCTGGAAGAAAGATAACAAGAAAGAGGTGCAGACGCGCTCAAGCCACGGTCCACGGACAAAGGATTAATGCGCGGTCACGAGACCATGCCTTAAAATACATTTTTGTCATCGGCTAACCCCGGCGTGGAAATATTGTACTTATTTGCGTTACTTACCCTCTGAAGGCGACTTCGTTCAGAGAATAATATGAAGCTAACGACCGCTAGGCTTTCACACAAAAGCTCTCATTCTGATAACATCATATTCCTAGATGTATATATGTAGCCCACCGGCTTGCTTCTGGATGCACGTCGTGTAGGATCCGCACAGCTGCGTCTAGGGCATACGGAACGTCGTCCGGTTCGGTGCTGGTCTCGAAAATGGGTCTAAGGAAACACGATGGCACTGCAGGACTTGACACGAGCTTTATGTCATGAAACGTTAACATTTCGTATCGAATACACTCTCGCAGCACGACTATTCCACACTAGAGTGACTGAGGCTATGAGCGCAGCAGCGCATATACAGCGTAACACACTCGGAGAATCGAAGCCAAGCCGCTGAGCGCGAAGGGAATCCGTGAGCCTGTGAGCATCACAATTCCTCCACAAATCTCTTTGTGGCGCTGGACTGAGGAATGGCCCTCCATACTTTGACGGAATGAGGGCCAATGTCGACTTCCAGAGAGCCCTGGACGGTGCCTATGCTCTTACCCCACGTGCCCGCATCATCTTTTTGCCATAGGTCGAAGAACTCCCAAGGCTCGCTCCCAGCAACCGATCCCTAGGCCAACATGGGTTCAAACGCGGAGAGATGGTAGAGATAATGACAGTACCTGGTCGAAGAACACGTCCGACATCTGGATGGTCGTCGTCTGGTTGTTGGGTGATGTGTTCAATACGGCAACGACGAATGCGCTGTCGGCGAACAAATGCATGAGGACCCGTGATGAAATCAAGGAGATGTTGCTTCAGACGTACTCGTTCACGAGGCTGCCTTGCCAAAGCGAGATACTACCACCGTCGACGGCGGTATTTGTCTGACGTGATGCAGGAGATCCGTTCGGGTCTTGGTTCACCGCGATCAACGCCTCATTGGTGATGATGGATAGGGTTTCATTTGTCTGAACCAACGAAATCGCTCATTCCATTTGATCGGTTGAAGAGGAGAGGCCAACTCACCATGTTAGTGACATCATTGCCGAGAATCAAGGGGCTCTTGAGAATAGACCACATGGAGAAGTGCGTGACTGTGTTACACATCAGGACACCAAACGTGATAGCAGACGGCTGTCCCGCCTACCGTATTCGTCGAACGTCATGCCACCATTCCCGACCTATAACCAAACCGATCGTTAGTTTGGTTGATCTGAGAACTTCAGGTGAGAGACGCACTTCGAGCATATCGAGATCGTTCCATTTCCCGGGACCGGCCTTCTGTCCGATGGGCGCGGCGAAGTCTATGATCCGCGCCATAGCGCAGTCTGCAGAAGATGTCATGAGTGAAACTCCATGCGAAACCAAGCTTGTGTCAACGCACGGAAGCCGGGCAGCTTGCAGTCAAGGACGGAAGTACACGGGCATCGGTCGTCAAACCGGTCAAAGCTCTGGTCGCCGCTAATGAGCGTCCGAGGAAACGCTTGTATGAACTGACGATGCTTACGTCCATGATATCTCCGGAGATGCGCCAACTGTTCGCTATGGTCTGAATGCGAAGAGTCCGTCATCGGGACGTATCGACGTGACGGGGCTGATTACTCACAACAGCGAAATTCCATGGTCCATCTTCGCCCCAGTTGCACATCGAGTACAGGATCGGTCGCCCAGTAGCATTGAGCGCTTGACTCATGTTGTTGAATCGTTCAAAGGAGATTTGCGGGGTGCCTGCGCGACCCTCGTTATAGCAGTTGTCATATTCTGTGGATGAGTTATATACGTTTATTCTCGAAGTGATATCCAAGGAAATACTGACTGAGGTAGTCGACGCCCCATGATGCGTACGTTTGAGCATCAATCACCTCGAAGTCAAGCGAGCCAAACCGTCCGCCACACGTATATCTACGTCGTTCTGGCGGGTAAGCCAAACTATGCGACGAAGCAAAGCAGGGGAGTGACTTACAATCCCGCCGAGCTGTAGATTCCGAACTGTACGCGAAGCTTGTCGTTAGCTCCGATCCCGTCGTGACCTGCAACGGCGACGTGCCTTAAGACCCATGTCGTGGATCTTGTCGGCGAGATCCTTGATGCCATTCGGGAACTTTTGCGGATCCGCGACGGGCGCGCCAGTGGAATTGTCACGAGCGGGCGCTTGCCAACCTGAAGCATTTCGTGAGATACGGAGGAGCGACCGCAAGGTAGTCGGGTCGTACAATCGTCCATGATTATATCTAATGAGACGGAGGATGAGTGCAGGTGACAGGACGTTCATTGAAACCGTCGCTCACATTCGTACCCGTACTGTGTCAGATTATAGCTCACGAACGCTTGGGCGGCGCTGACGATGGTGTCTTCGCTGATGTCGCAACCAAAGTGGTTCCAAGTATTCCATCCCATCTGAGGTGTGAGCGCGAGCCCATTGTTGTACGCGCGCGCAACTGCAGCGCTGGTAACAATTAAAGCTATGCTCCAGGTAAGCATGGCCATAGAGAGCGGCAATAAAGAGGAAGCCGTGATCACTCTGACAGTGTCTGGGCCTTATAAGGCGGCGTCGAAAGGTGCAGATGACCCTAACGCGAAGGTCATCTCCACATCAGGTGAGCCCAAAGGTTGCATCGCTTCGGCCGACCCGGCAGGCGCGGGATGTATCCCCCGGAACCGTAGCTGGCCCTCCCGAACGTGTTTGATATTCGGCAGAAGGAATGTGCTTGGCGGTTCCTAGCAGATGGCCAAGGACCGCCATAAAGGATTCGCGTGGCGAGAACAACCGCGACACAGGAATGGAAAAGAAGTGGAGCAGAAAAAGACGTTGGTGGATCGCGAACTTCCCGCATAGTTGCTTGTGGTAGGAAGTTTGCCGCTCTGATTGGACCTCAGTGATGACTAGCAACTGGCACTGAACAGCTGCGGATAACTTCGCGTATACTTTCTACGAGAGATTTTCAAGTAGCACTGATGCAATGGCGTGAGCGATCCTTTCGCTCATCACAGTCTCGGAGAAACTCACTTGGACTGCATACGCTTCACGAACCGGACCGGTCATAGGATTACACCACCAGCCCACCCTACAGCCATCCTGCTCGTAACCCTGAGCTACACCTTCGTGTTTGAAGGATGATGCCACCCAGTGCACTTGAACGGAACGGTGAAGCAGCCCTCGATCATCCGATACGGTCATAGAAGGCAATGTTCCGGAAGAGAACCACGATGAAGGTCTTCGCCGCTCCGTGACCATGGACAGATGACCACCGGTGATGCATAGGGGCGTCCAAGCCAGTACTCGTGAGGATGGCCGGCCCGAGGTCTCTGCACCTACTGAATCGATATCGATGGCCTTGGACGAGCGCTTGCAGCATCACTGCTGTCTGAGGGGTTTGAACCGTGCTTGAACGGGTTTGTAGCACATCAATCCAGAGTTACTTATTCGAACAGCAGGGCACAGAGACTCGTGGTGGATTGTAGCTGAGTTGAAGGACCAGTTTACCGCTGGTCAACCGGGGTCAACGTCAGTGGCATACGTAATCAGTGCTCATGGAGCGCATGAACCAGCGTTCTCGTTTCTTTCTCTGTTCCGTGAATGTGCAGCACTATCAATACGCATGGCCGCGTATAAAAAGCGTATCGATTCGAAGGCTCACTAGTGCTCACGCCTCGGCCCCTGACTTGGACGCGACTATCGCGATGCCAAAGGCTAGCACTCAGAAGACTCTTGCTCAATATTCAATGTACAATTGCAATTGACGTGTCTCCCATTTCCACCAGGACTACGTATCGCCGAGCTCAAACGTGGTCTTGCCTGACGCCGTTTGTGGCGCTGATTTTATCGTCACGCCCGACTTGGTACGATCTGCTAGCTCTGCCTGGGCGCGAGCAGGAACACTACGTCCCGGAGGTAAGTTGCGTGAACATGATTACCTCCGGCTCTGAGAAAGAAATTGACAATCCGCGGATGGTAGGGTATCTCGTTTTCCATGACCTGCTTGCCCATGCCGATATGATCGCTGCATTATGGACCCGCAAATATCGCAACCAGTGCTCCATCATTTTCGCATCCCGATGGGCTGGTCGGATTGCTAGAATACGCAGCGCAGGTTCTCTGCGAATCATCGCAGCATATGCACCATGCGGACCGATTACGAAGACCGAGCTTTCGATGCAACCGTGCACATCGTTGGCAATTGATGTACTCTTGGTGACAGATTGGATGCACTATCACGGGTATATGAGTGCTGTTGAGTAGATCCGACGTCAATGGGCTGTTCAACGCCGTCTGGTACCGCATGATTGAGCTCCGTAGTTTGGTCCGCCCAGCTAACTCACTGTGGGAGATCGGGCATTGAAAAAATGGGAGCCTCGAAGTATAAGATACTCAGGTTGTTGGAACGTGCAACGTGCCCATCATTTCACGCCATGACGCAGAGCACCGAGGCATCACTTGCAATAGGCGGTAAGACATATACTACTTCTAGGAATGTTTCTTATATCAAGATGACTATGTTTCAGCGTCTCCCAGTTCGGCCATTGCAGCACATCGTCCTTCTCCAGTGCAACGATACGGATATAAGCCAGGCACAAGCGCTGAACAGTTATGCAAATGTTCAGCCGGTATGCACATTCCACTGCTCAACACAGATCATGCACTAACCGGTTCTTTTATGTGAAAGTACCTCCTCCAATTCCAACCGGCATGTTCGCAGAAGCTCTTCACTTCCATGAACAGTTTTGCAGACGGAGTGATCTTGAAGCCGCAAAACGGTCCATTGATGTCTATGGCACCCTCCTGGCAAACGGTGCTCCGAGAGCAGCTGAAGCATTTGGTCCGGTCTTGAAAGACTATCACATCCTCATACAGCTGGCGAGCGTTCTTGAGAATCGATACCGCTACGCCAGAGACGACAATGACATCACTTCGGCCGTCAAATACGCTAACGAAGCTTTGACCCTGTGTAGCGCGGGGAACGTGATTTGCCCCACGGTGACCGTGCGCTACGCAGAGATTTTAGCTTCCCAGTCTGGACGCACGCCGGAAGTCGAGGCTAGGCAAATGGCTGAGGCTGCTTGTCGACAAGCAATCGACTTGTGCCGCCCGGGACATCCGTTGAGGACTGAAATCTACGGGATTCTTGGTTGGACTATGCACATGCGTTACCTGGATACTGGCAACACAGATTTTATAGAACAATCCCTACAGTTACTTCAAATGGCTCTGCAAGAGATTCTTCCATGCCAAATTCACGACAAACACAGATACTTGCGATACCTCAGCTACGCTTGGCTCCGAAGGTACCAGGCCTTCGGCGAGCTCGATGATCTGAACCGCTCTATATCATCCTCCACGGACGTCTTGGATCTATGCCCAACCGCCGATATTGGGCGAGGTCCAGCGATTTATCATGTCATGAGGGTGCTGCGTTTCAGGGTTTATCATTCCGGGGAGCTCGATGATCTCAACCGAGCGATCGATATTGGGTTACAATCCGCAGACGTTCACGACTCGTCCATGGACTACGTTCGACAGGAGTTAGGGACTCTCCTACATCTCCGACATCAACTTACACTATCAGATGGGAGTGACATTCAACTGTCCGTCAAGTTTCACAGAGACTGTTCAGAGCGGTTCATGCCCGGATCCATGCATTATTGGGTAACCCTCGGAAGTCTGGCTATAGCGCTGCGTTCCCTCTTCTCCTGGAATGGCGAACTGGGTTATCTAGAGGAAGCTCTGGATCTCAGTCGTCAAGCAGCAGGTAACATACCTCATGGCCACACCGAGTGGTGCGTTGCAGCTGGTTCTGTAGCAACAGCGCTGGCACTCCGCTATGCGGAAGCTGGGGATAGCGCTGATCTCGTGGAAGCGCTGGATTGGGATCGTCGTGCGATGGCATCTATTCCAGTGTCAAGCGAAAGCTATAGCAGGGTGGCGTTGTCAACGATATCGCTTCTCTGCCTTCGTTACGAGACCTTCCAGAGTCCGGACGGGGAGGACCTAGAGAAGGCTGCAATGCTGTCGCAGGAGCTGCTGAGTGCTTTGCCCGCAGGGAATGCCAATGAACCTGACGTAGTCCACCATCTGGTGAAGTCACTTCTTCTACGCGGACAGCACAACAACGATGTCTCGGACATTCAACGTGTAATCGACGAGCTGGAAGCGAGGATGGACGTCTTTGCACCGCGGTGGAATGGTGCGGAATGTCTCCGCATCCTGTCCGCCGGCCACAGGACCAAATTTCGGTGGTCACTCGAGTCGGACCATGCTGATCGCGCGTTGGAGATCATATTGAAAGCATTAAGCCTCGTACGGCCTGGCCAACGCGAACGGTATCAATGTCTCATCGATGCCGCGACACTGTACATCGAAAAGGGAACTCAATATCGAAATCCATCTCTCTCCTTGGAGTACGTTGCGAATGCACTGTCTGACGATCATAGAGATGTGCGGTCCAGGCTCCAGGGAGCGATTCACGTCCTGAATATCTTTCAAGAGCAGCATAACGATCCGTTCCTGGCCGGCGATCGGGTATCTACCCAACTCCAATGCTGCTAAGTGCCTTTGCCCAATGAATACCACTAATAGTCGTACACGCTCTTGTAGTAAATCACGGCTATTTAGTGGTGAACTACCAGTGGCCTAGTGCGAGCGGGCTGTTCAGCAGTACCGCACGTCCTCGGAGGTTCGGGGATGTGAATATGCTTCTTTGATGGGATCAATAAGACGGTATGGGCGTACAGGTCGCTACCAGCCACTGCCTTGCTTCTTGGGAGGTGAGGAAGCATGGTCCTGGGCGTTTGGTATCGTTGCTCGCTTAATGCGCTGCCCATTCGCTTATTCCCTCCGCCCGACGCGCGTTTACCGCCCCTCGCGCCTCCGCCCGACGCTCGCTTAGGGCGCCGGCCCTTCCCGCCCGACGCTCGCTTAGGGTTCCCGCCCGACGCTCGCTTAGCGCCCGCGCTCTTCGGTGCCCGACG